TTTAAACCAATAGGAAACGATACAGTTGTCACGTTTTTTGTCCTTCCCGGACTCAAATCATTTGACGGCATTATTGGAGATGACACGTTAAAAACACTAAAGGCCCTTATCGATAGGAAAAACGACCTCCTAACGATATCACCCGGTATTAAAATACCCCTTCTTGCCAAAAAATCATTGAATATACACCTACTAATGGATGCAACACACCCCGAATTCGCAAAAGAAGCCTTAAATGCGCTTATCAGCGAATATTTCAAAATTTTTGAACCACTTTCGCCCGGAGAGGCTGTAGACACTAGCGTCAGGGCTGAGATTCGCACAAGCACCTCAGACCCTATATACTCAAAGAGCTATCCCTACCCTACCAACATGAGAGGGGAAGTGGATAGACAAATAGAGGAACTCTTGCGGGATGGTATTATAAAACCATCAAAAAGTCCATATAACTCCCCGGTCTGGGTAGTTCCAAAAAAACCCAAACCGAACGGAGAAAAACAATACCGCATGGTCATCGATTTCAAGCGTTTGAACGCTGTCACAATCGCGGACGCCTACCCAATACCAGATATAAATTCAATTCTAGCTAGTCTGGGGAAAGCTAAATACTTTACCACCCTCGATTTAACTTCGGGATTTCATCAAATTTACATGTTGGAATCCGACACCCCTAAAACGGCATTTTCAACATTAAATGGGAAATACGAATTTCTTCGTCTCCCGTTTGGACTGAAAAACGCCCCTGCGATTTTTCAAAGGATGATCGACGATGTATTAAGGGAACACATTGGCAAAATATGCTACGTGTACATCGTCGACATAATAGTTTTTAGTGAGGACTATGATAGCCATTGGAAAAACCTACGTGCTGTCTTTGACAAAATGGAAAAAGCCAAACTCCAGGTAAATTTGGAAAAAACAAATTTCCTATCAACACATGTTGAATTTCTAGGATACGTGGTAACTGGAAACGGCATTAAATCAGACGGAAAAAAGGTCGAGGGGGTCACGAAAATGAAACCACCCACCACCGTCAAAGAATTAAAGAGTTTCCTTGGCATGACTTCCTACTATAGAAAATTCATCAAGGACTATGCAAAAGTCGCAAAACCCTTAACAAATTTAACCCGAGGGGAATTCGCTAGAGTGAAGGCCTCACAGTCCAAAAAAATTCCAGTCGAACTCGGTGAAGAAGCGTTGAAAGCCTTCAACGATTTAAAAACTCTGCTCTCATCTTCGGAAGTTTTAGCATTTCCAAACTTCTCTAAACCATTTCACCTGACCACGGATGCGTCAAACTACGCAATCGGAGCAGTCCTCTCTCAAGTGGACTCTGGCAAAGATCGGCCCATAGCGTATATCTCCCGATCTTTGAGTCAGACAGAGGAAAACTACGCCACTAATGAAAAAGAAATGCTCGCGATAGTATGGGCCTTAGATAACCTTCGCTCTTATCTGTATGGTGCTGGATCTATTAAGATTTACACCGATCACCAGCCTTTAACATTTGCTCTGGGTAATAGGAATTTTAACGCCAAGCTAAAACGCTGGAAGGCCCGTATTGAAGAATATAATTGTGAATTAATTTACAAACCTGGAAAATCGAACATAGTGGCCGATGCTCTGTCACGAGTCACAACATATGTAAATCACCTTGGCTCTGGCTCTGAGAAAGCCTCCGATTCTGATTCGATTGCTACAATTCATAGCGCTCTTCAAGATGCATCTCATTTTATTCCTCACGTAGAAACCCCGATTAATGCCTACAGAAATCAATTAATTTTTTGTCCAGATTTGTCTGATTATTTGTGCGAACACCCACAAGTTGGATATGTGCGCCATTCAATTCCGCTTGTTGACCATACACCATCAACCCTCATAGACTCACTTATAAAATATTTGAAACCCTCAGTAATTAATGGAATTAAAATCCCAGACGATTACTTGCAACTCCTACAAACCTGTTGCTCCCAGAATTTCAAATTATATAAAATTCGTATAACGCAACGCTTGGTAGAAGATATCACGGATAAAGAGCAAATTTGCGAAATAATCGAGAAAGAACATCGCAGAGCCCATAGAAGCCCTAAAGAGGTCCGCGTTCAAGTCTTGGAAAAATATTACTTCACCAGGATGGCGAGTATTATTCGTGCACAGCTTTCGACCTGCACCATTTGTAAGCTGCAAAAATACGACAGGCACCCCAATAAACCCTTGCTGCAACCAACCCCTATCCCAAATTACCCGTGTGAAATACTTCATATCGACGTTTTCACATTAGAAAAGAAAATTTATCTCAGTTGCATCGACAAATTCTCCAAGTTTGCCAAACTTTTTCCCTTACAATCAAAGTCAGCGATTCATCTCCGCGAGACCCTATTAGATGCACTTCATTATTTCACCGCACCTAGGATGATAGTGTCGGACAACGAAAGAGGTCTTCTGTGCCCAACTGTCCTGAATTATTTGCGAACACTAGGAATTGAACTATACCATACTCCTACTCAAAAAAGCGAAGTAAACGGCCAGGTTGAAAGATTTCATTCTACATTCATGGAAATATATCGATGCTTGAAGAAGGAATATCCGACTTTCAAACCCACCGAACTTATACCTATTGTCACAGACAGGTACAATAACTCTGTCCACTCGGTGACGAATAAAAAACCCGTAGATATTTTCTTTAATCGTACCTCTAGAATAAATTACCAGGGTTTGGCCAATTTCAAAGAGCAAACTTTTGAAGATATTCGAGGTCTCATAGAACATAAACAAACACTGACCAACAATGGGCGCAATAAAAATAGAAGCGACCCAATTTCTTACGAACAGGGTGACACGGTATATGTCGCCAACAAACAGATTAAAACAAAAGAAAAGCAGCGATTCAAGCCTGAAGAGGTTCAGGATGACCGTAGAGTCACTATAAAAACAAGATCGGGAAAAATTTTTCACAAATCTCATTTAAAAAAGTAATTTGGGAACTCCTAGGTAAAATTTTACTCTCGATCTCCAGACCGGGAGGGCTGCCAGCAGATTATTTTAATTTTTTTTACAACTGTTTCACAATAAAAACATAAAGGGAAGTGTGTATTAAATGTTTCACTAACTCATAACCTCCTTCAAAAACCAATTAAATCAACTAAAAATTTTTTTAGCACTTAAGAAATATAAAAGAAAATAGTTAAGCAACACTTAGATTAAGAAGAAAATTATACTAAAGGATAAAGGGTAACGATAAGACACAAGAAAACACGAATACAAACACCTAGACTAAGAAAGAATAACGACCTAACTATAAGAATTTACATTTTTTATTTTAACCTTTTGCTGACACTATAAGCGCGTCCGCAATCTATGTGGCGGCAACCCTTCATATTTTTAAATATGATTCACCGGTCGTCCCCTTACAACAAGGCACCGTCTGGAGAACCAATGGCGTCTTCAAACTGGCTCACATCATAAGTTTAGGGCGCATGCAGCAGCTCATCGATCAGATAGCAGACGAAGCTAAGTTAATCACGGACCAACGGATCGGTGCTTTGGTGGACCACTATCTGCAACAGGCTTCAGAAGGGATCTCGCGCATGAATAGCGCACCGTCACGGAGGCAACGCTCGATCGACTGGCTAGGATCAGCTTGGAAATGGGTCGCGGGATCACCGGACAAATCGGATTGGAATGCCATTTTGAAAGAAGAAGACAGCCTGGCAAGGAACAACAACCAACAAATACGGGTCAACAATAAGCTATTTGACTCAGCACAAGAATCAATCCAGAAGCTGAATGACGTAATAGGGACGGTCAACGCAATAGAAGGGGATTTCCACGTGACGACAGCCATTCTCCACAAAGCAATCATAATTGCGGACCAGGTCAACGAGATACTGAGAGCCTGCCAACTAGGAAAGACTGGAGTGGTCAACACAAACCTCTTGGACCACGAGGAGGTCGACACGATTCTGGCAGAGGTGGACAGCCTCCCGTATCAAAACGTCGTGGAAGCAGTTGAGTTTTCCCGACCTACAATCCTCACAAACGGGACTACTCTCCTGTATATCCTGGCAATGCCCAAAGTGGTGGACAGGAGATATCGACTGATGAAAATTTACCCAACGACATCGGATGGTAAACAAGTGGTACTGAAGTACACCACACTGGCAATGGACAGCCTGGAAACGTATGCGCTACTCGGAAATTGCATATCGATCGGTAACACAACCGTGTGCCGAGAAAAAGACCTACTCAAGTTGGATGAGGACAGTTGTATACCGAGATTGCTAAAAGGAGGCCAAGCCGAATGTGACTACCTGAGGACTAACCAGGAAACAGTGGAACTCATCGACGACGGGACAATCTTTCTTACTAACTTCAACGGATCGGTATCGACTCCGATTAAGAAACACCACTTGGAGGGTTCGTACATCGTACAATTTGACAACGAAACAATTATGATTGGTGACCGGAACTACAGCAGCTACTCGTCAACACACCTCATGGCAATGCCAGCCGTATTAACCCAAATAAAAACCACGGGTTACGAGCTTTCGTTGAAGTACGTCCACGAATTCAGCATGGAAAACCTGAAAAGATTATCAGTCATGTCCAATGAGATTTTGATATCTTTCTCAGTAGAAATAGTCATAGCCCTCTCCATAATGACAGCAGTATACCTCGTTTGGAAAAAGGTAACATCGACCAAAGGAATTCCTAAGCTGCGAGACCCGCCTGGAAACCTGGAAGCGCGGAGTACGCCGGAACCTGCAATCAAGGCCTAAATGATCTGTGGGACACAGATCTTGTGGTAGGGAGGAGTTAACACCAGCCAACTGCCCATTTCCCTATACCCCTCTTGAGCCCTACGACACCGAACAACGCACCATCCACCCCTCTCGGTTACCCACAAACTGGAACCCATTCCGTTCACCCTACTCAGTCATCAACAGCAACAATATTAAAGTGGCTATAATTCCAAGTGGCTGCAATAACACCGCCGAATTATGAAACCAGCGAACGCCAACGACGACAGCGATGCAGCAACAGCGACCCAGCGACACAGCGACCAGCGACCCAGCGACCGAATGTCAACAACGTCGGAACGACAGCGACAGCGACGGAACGTCAGCGATCGAATTGCATCGGCAATAGCGCAATAGCGGAAGAACACCGAGCGTCGGCTAGTTGCCTCAGCAATAGCCGCCGCTACCCCTACCCTTCGCCGAGCCCAGGCATAAGTGCAGCGTTAGCATCTGGAGTGGAGAAACACTTCGGGTCAGACACCCAAAACCGTTGGTGTCGGCTTGGATATTTCCGCAACCGCTCTGCCAGCGGTCTGCTGACGTCGCAGCGCTGCCCAAGCCAACAAGCCACCAAAATATAATTGTTAGAATTAATTCTATTTGTACCCCCGATCTGAACACTACAATATTTCTAAATAATAAAACCGCTTGTAACGAAAGAAATCGATTACAGTTTTATTTTAAAGTAAAATCGTTTTTAAATAAAAAGGGAATAAGAAGGACGAAGGAAGAAGGACGAAGTAAGCAGGACGAAGGATCAGCAGGAAGGATCAGCATGAAAATAACATCTTTTAGGTAATATAAGGGGAATTATTCTCCCTCTGACCATGACTGGTCATAACTTAAATAAACCTATAGTAAAGTAAACAACAGCTTCCGTTCGAAGCCAAACTCTCACGTTCAAAGACAAAAGTATTGCGTTCCAATTTTTAATCAAAATTGCATCGGTCAGCATAATTGAATTTCACAACGAGATGCGACAGTTTCAACATAAGCTTTTATTTTAAACAAAAATCAAAGTTCTAGAAGCTTAAAAAAGAAAAGCTTCTGGCCGAGGTTCGTTGGAGAAGATTTTAGAATTAAGGAGTCAGTCTTATTCGGATTGAAACCGGGATCGGTCATAAGAAATAATAATAAGTGAAAGTGTCTTGATGTAATAAAGAGTTAGTGAATTAAGGTCTGCACCAATAAAGTGAAATATAAAAATAAAATTTATATTTTTTTTAATCAACCAATACGATCAAATTTAATTGGCGCCCAACGTGGGGCTGTGTCATTAAAAAGTTCCAAAAATAAAAATTTAATGAAAAACAAAGTTAAATTTACAACGGAACTCGCGCAGCCAAGAACTCAAATTTTTATTGGAAAAATTAAAACATCCAACAACAAACAGTGATCGTGTAATGGAAATCAATAAATGAAATAATCCATTAAGTTGATTAGTTGGTGGACTGAAGATCTAAATCTCAAGCATCAAGAACACTTTAAAAATAAAATAAATCCGAAAACCGCTAAAACCGCTAAAACAAATAAAACTAAAAAACCAACCAAAAACAACAAGCAAATAATCAGACAACATATAACCAACCAAAGACAAATTGAAGGAAGGGCTGTAGGGCAATCCCTCGCCAACACTGGAAAAAATTTTTAATCTCTATCGACAACAAGAAGAACATCGCATAAATTGAAGGAAGACCCCACCGGACAGTATCGTGAGGATAAATATAATTTTATTTTAAATAAGGGAAAATAAAAGAAAATTAATTTAAGACAAGCAAATTTTTTATGAAATAACAGTGAGAAAAAAAAGAACAATCTGGAAAAGTTAATAGATAGTTTCGGTGAATTAAATTTAACAATGGCAACTGGAAGTTCAAATAATTTTTCTGCAGGTGATTTAGCCACAGCCAGTAACCTAACTGTGGAATTAATTAACAGATTAATTAATGTTCAATTGGATGGTTTGGAAGAAAAGTTAGCAACAGACGCAAACATAGTAGAGCACTATAAAATTCAAGAAGTTGACCCAAATATAAAATGTGAAACCACTCTTGAAGTAATCAAATCATTTCCGAAGTTCACCGGGGAACCAACTCAATACGTAGGTTGGAGAGAAGCTGCAGAAACTGCAATGAGCCTTTATAAAATTCAGAGTCAGCAGTATTTTATCGCGTTAACAATTTTACGAAATAAAATCATGGGATCAGCCCATGACGCTCTTAACAATCATGGCACTGTTCTAAATTTTCAAGGAATTTTATCTAGATTGGATTTTATATATAGTGATAAACGACCAATCCATATTCTTGAGTCCGAATTAAGTATCCTTAGACAAGGTAGAATGACAGTTACTGAAAAAATGACTTTACTTATAAACAAAACTATAATGACATACGGAAAAGATTAATTACCAAAGAAACAAACAAAACAATAAGGAGCAATGCTCTACGAATTTTCATCTCTGGATTAAATGGTCCAATAGCAGAAACCCTTTTCTCATTAAATCCACCGGACTTGCCCAATGCGTTGGTAAAGGTCCAGGAATTAGAGTCAAACAATTTCCGAGCTCAATTTGCAAACAGATACTATGGCTTTAAAAATGAAAATAAAAATCAGGGAAATAATTTAAGATTTAATTCTAAACAAAACACTAATACTAAAGGGAACGGAAATAATTGGAATTATAATCAAAATAATAATTGGCCACAGAATAAGAATTTTTGGCAAAATAATAATCAGAATACCAATCAAAAAGAACAACCTGTCGAGCCAATGGATGTAGATTCATCGCTCCAATTTCAAAATAAGCCCAGAAATAATTGGCAGTCAAATAATAATCGAGGTAGATATAATAATAATTATTATCAAAACAATAATCGCACAAACTATTATCGTCCAAATCAAACCAAAGAGCAAACTCAAGCTCAAAAAAGGGAACTAGAAGGAACAGTTAATCAGCCTGCTAATAAGGTAACAAGATTAAATAATATCAATGAAGATCATTTTTTAGATCAGACCCCTAAAGGGGAATGCCTTATCTAAAAAGAGTGGACAGAAAAACTAAGAAAGAGTTAAATGTTTTAATAGACACGGGAGCTACGGCTTGCTATATAAAGAAGGGAATTTTTGAGAATAAAAATGAATTATCTATTTACAAAAAAGTATCTACAGTTCATGGGTATTCAATTATTAAATATTACCATTATATAAATATATTTGGAACAAGACATTTGTTCTATGAAATAGAAGGATTGGAATCTGACCTATTAATTGGGTTTAATTTATTAAGAAAAATCGGAGCAATTATAAATATTGAAAAGAGAGTGTTGGAGTATAAAGGGAATACAGAAAAGTTATTATATTACGATAGTGAGGAAAAAAATGAAACAAGTTTAATGGAAGTCAATAATACTCTTCCATTAAAAGAATTTATTTTAAAAAAATATTTTGATTATATAAGTTTCGAAAACACAGATTCTATATTTGTGGAAAGAAGCGAGAAAAGTTTGGGATCAACAAAGCCTGAACACGCCGACGATGAAATTTCCGTCAACAAAAAATTAAATAGTTTGGGATCAAAAAATCCTGAACGGAGAATTATAAGACCCAGTAGAAGTCCTTATAATTCTCCAGTGTTAGTGGTACCCAAAAAAGGTCAAAATGAAGATGGCAGTCTCAAACATAGATTAGTAATAGATTACAAAAAACTGAACGAAAACACTATACCGGACAGATACCCGATGCAAGACCCGTCTGTAATATTAGCTAATTTAGGGAAGGCTAAATACTTCTCAACAATTGATTTGGAATCTGGATTCCACCAAATTTTAATGAAAAATTCAGATATTGAAAAAACAGCATTTTCTATTAATAACGGAAAATTTGAATTTTTACGAATGCCTTTCGGGTTAACAAACGCACCCAGAATTTTTCAAAGAGCTATGGATGATATCTTAAGAGAACAAGTAGGAAAAACTTGCCATGTTTATATGGACGATATAATTATTTTTTCAAACACTATTGAACAACACTATGCTGATTTAATTAAAATAATTAATATTTTACAAAGAGCAAATATGAAAATTTCACTCGAAAAATCTAAATTCTTTAAATTAGAAACCACATTTCTAGGGTACATTGTTTCTCATAATGTAATTAAAACGGATCCCGAAAAAATTGCCACAATTAAAAAATATCCGATTCCACGTAATATTAGAGAACTCCGAAGTTTTCTAGGTTTAACAGGGTATTACAGAAAATTTGTCCGTAACTATGGAAAAATTGCTAAACCATTAACAAAATATCTAGGAGGGGAAAATGGAAAGGTTTCTAAAAGAATGTCTACTAAAGTTTCAATACAGTTTGACGAATCAGCTGTACAAGCTTTCAACGAGCTAAAAGAGAATCTAATAGCACAAGTCGAATAAATTCAGCCAGATTATAGTAAGAAATTCGTTTTAACTACAGACGCATCAGACGTAGCTATCGGTGCAGTACTTACACAAGATAATAAACCAATTACGTTTATTTCAAAAACATTAAATAAAACGGAACAACTTTATGCCACAAATAAAAAAGAATTGTTAGCTATAGTATGGGCTTTAAAAAATCTTCGGAATTATTTATATGGAGTAATTGGCATAGAAATACAAACGGATCATCAATCCTTATCGTTTACAATTTCGGATAAAAATCCAAACGTAGAGATGAAAAGATGGTATTCTTTCATTGAAAGTTTTACCCCAAAAATTATATACAAACCCGGAACAACAAATGTTGTAGCCGAAGCATTATCACGAATACAAATAAATAATATTACAAACAGCGATATAGACGTTGTTAAATCAATTTAAACAACAATTGTTATTAACAACGGGGAGGTATACAATACATGAGTCACTGGACATTTTTGACAAGACAAGACACATAATCGAATATGATACAGTTGAGAATTTAATAAGCATATTAAGAGAGTATCTTCCACCTAACATAACAGTTGGAATTCATTGTAGTTTAGAAGATTTATATCATATTCAAGTTTCTTTAAGAAATAGTTTTACTAACAAATTTCTTTTTACGCGATTATTTTTACAAGACGTAGAAAACGCCGAAGATAGAGCTATAATAATAGAGGAAACACACAATCGAGCTCATAGGGGACTAGACGAAAATCATAAACAAATCAGTAGATTATATTATTGGCCCAATCTATTTGTAAAACTAAAAGAATATATAAAAAATTGTACAATTTGCAATGAGAACAAATATAACAGACACCCTATTAAAATTCCAATTGGGGAAGCCCCAGTCCCAACTAAAGAAGCCGAAAATTTACACATTGATATATATTATGCGCAAAGTTTAACTTTTTTAACTTGTATTGACGCGTACTCTAAATTCCTAGTAGTTAAAGAAATTCAGAATAAATTAAATATCGAAAATAAAGTAATGGAACTACTTCAACATTTTCCCCTAGCTAAAGTAATTATGACCGATAACGAACCGAGCTTTACCTCAGCTCAATTTAAATCTTTTGCACAAAGATGCGGAGTAACTCTACATTACGCAGACCCGAGGCACAGTACCTCAAACGGACAAGTGGAAAGGGCACATTCGACATTAACAGAATTAGCTCGCTGCATAAAAGAACAATTTAATTTAACTGACTATTACGAAATCGTAATAAGAGCCGCTCAGGAATATAATCAGAGTATTCATTCCACAACAAACCAAAAACCTATTGACATTCTTTATAATAAAATCGAACACGATAATATTCCACAATTATTAAAAAATACACAGGAAAAAATGTTAGAAACACATAATGAAAACAGAAAAGAAAAACAATATCACGTAGGACAAGTTGTTTATGAGAAGAAATATGGAGAAAGAAATAAACTTAAACCAAGATATAAGAAACAAATAGTTAAAGATGTTATGCCTAATAAAATAATAATCAACAGTAGAAACAGAATTATTCACAAAGATAATATTAAGCATTAATAAATTATTTTTTTTTTTAACTTACAGAAAATGTATTCTTTAATACATATTTTATCAATTATAATATTGGCCAGTTCAGAAATAATTGATTACTCGAACCATGAATTTTTTCTGTTCAAAGACAACAAGGATGTACTTACGTATAAATCTTACAACGATTTATTCCACGTAACTAATTTAAGTTTTTATAAGGAAATAATTAATATAGAATCAGATAATATAAAAAAGGATTTAAATAAAAGGTCACAATGGGAAATAAAGTACGACTTAGAAGTAATCGAATTAATCTTATCCCAGTTAATATCAGCTAGAACAAAAAGAGGAATAAATGAGTTAGGCACCGTGTGGAAATGGTTAGCTGGAACTCCGGATCATGATGATTTCATTAAAGTACAAAATAAAATCAATGACTTAATTGAAAATAATAATAAACAGTCTATTATTAATTCCAAATTGTTCAAAGAAATAGAATCTCTCTCTGAAGATTTAAAAAACGTTTTTATTGATCAAGATTTACCACTAAGAAAACATCGCTTACGATTGATAACATTTGATCTACAAAATTTAATTGATTCTATCACCCTTGCAAAAATTGACGTTTTCAACACCAAAATTTTAAACAATGAAGATATAAAAGAAATATTAAAACACGAGCAAAAGCCAGTAATTATCGCTGACTTAATGGATATCTCTGTGTTCAAAATCGCATTCATAAATAACTTTTAATAATTTATATAAAATACCCAATAATAAATAATAGATGCGAATTATATTACACTCGACCCATTTCCCAAATCGATGGAAAATTATTAATAAGTAATCAAGTCGCAAAATGCGAAAATACATATTATGAAATGTCTATATTTAAGAAAGAACTCTTTAATAACTATTGCACTCTAAGTTTAGAAAAAACATGTTTTACCCGACTATTAAACGGTGAACAATCAATTTGTAAAAAAATAAGAGAAAAAAATAAAAAAATAGACATTATCCAAGATGGTGCCATTTTAATAAATGGAAACAACATCGTCAACAACTCCGAATTAGGTGGTTCATTCTTAATAACATTTAACGGTACAACCACAATAAATAACGTTTCATATACCAATTTAGACAACAAAATTCTAAACCATATTACTACAAACCACTTCAAAAATTATGAAATATTATATATTTTTATATATAATATTATATATTTTCAAATAACTCGGAACTCTCTTTAGATAATATAAATATTTTAAATCCATTCATTAAAATTAATAATACCAAAATATCTATATCCTTTATATTATTAATTTTAATCATTATATATTTGATTTCTCTACCTATTATTAAATACAGACATATATTTGTAACCAAAAAACAACGGCCAGAATTAGAAAAACCTATTAACGAAGAAATATTTTTAACAGAATTAAGAGATCGTTTAAACGAAATCCATAATGAATCGGGACGATCCATTTTAGAAGGGGGAGAGTTATCCAACCCGTGAAACGGTTCCACTTATGGAACTAATAAACAAATTTTTAAATTCAATTATCCAACGGTTCCACTTATGGGATTAATAAACAAATTTTTAAATTCAATCTCAGCTACATTGCCTTTGCCTTAATTTATGATTCTGCCTTCGCCTTTTTCATTAACTTCGAAGGCCACGCTTGACCGTTCTGCTAAGATAAAAAATAAACCTATAGTAAAGTAAACAACAGCTTCCGTTCGAAGCCAAACTCTCACGTTCAAAGACAAAAGTATTGCGTTCCAATTTTTAATCAAAATTGCATCGGTCAGCATAATTGAATTTCACAACGAGATGCGACAGTTTCAACATAAGCTTTTATTTTAAACAAAAATCAAAGTTCTAGAAGCTTAAAAAAGAAAAGCTTCTGGCCGAGGTTCGTTGGAGAAGATTTTAGAATTAAGGAGTCAGTCTTATTCGGATTGAAACCGGGATCGGTCATAAGAAATAATAATAAGTGAAAGTGTCTTGATGTAATAAAGAGTTAGTGAATTAAGGTCTGCACCAATAAAGTGAAATATAAAAATAAAATTTATATTTTTTTTAATCAACCAATACGATCAAATTTAATTTCCATCCTCAGGTGTCAAAACCATTTCTCTCCCCTCTAGATTTACTGAATCGCATATTGGTGGTTTGTTCGTTAACATCTTCCTCAAGCACTCCTTTCCTTTTATACGCTACGTTATTCTTATAATTTTTTATAAACAAATTTTTATCTTCCTGTTCCTTATTTATATGCTTAGTAGTTTTCGTAAACCTTCTCAAGGTTTCCTGATAAAAGGTTCTTTGCTCGTCCGCTTCTTGTGTAAGAAACCTTGTTTCGTTTCTTAATTCTTTTAATCTATTTCCTATTTTCTTCTCATCATACGCGTCCATATTTCCCGAAAAACTATTTTTATTATATTTCTTAACCCAATAAAAATTCCTCTTTTGACCCTACTTCTTGGTCTAAATATTTCTAGCTTCTCCTTCACCTGGTACAATTTTTCCTTAACCACCTGGACTGCCTCACCTGAGAATCTAACTGTTCGTGAACGCTTGCAGCTTTAATCATCTCTAATATATAGGCGCATAATGCCATCTCTATTCTATTCTATATATTTAATCTATGTACAAAAAAAAACATGTATACAATGTCTTTTGGGTTTCTGGCAACGCCGCTAAGACGGCGTCATATTGCAAAATTCAATTCAGTGTCAAATAGGCTTCGCAACTGGCAAGAATAAAATTAATACAGTCCACATATACGCAACTCAACTCGTTCTTATTTCTGACCATATTGTTGGTCCTTCGTTCCGGATTCTTGGACAGTTAGTGAAGTGCTTTGATTCTCAGGTTAATTGTTTGCTATGGAACAGTTAAAAGCATTGGTGAAAAGCCGTTCCAGACTCAAGGGCAACATCACACGTTGTCTCTCATGGGCTGAGCAAGCGGAATCTGCAACACAGGCGGAGATCTCCACGCGCATACAACTTCTCCACGAAGCTTGGAAGGAGTTCAACCAGTTCGGCGATTGCATTGCTCTCCACGAGGAGGTAGAAGGTTATGTCGATCCGGAGATGGATAACGCAATTTACGAAGAAAAGTACCTAAGGGCGAACGCAATTCTCAAGGACAGAAGTGATGCTCTACAACCGAGTACATCTACAGGCATTGTGAATGGCAGCAACGGTCTGCATTTCAACGGCGACGCAATTGTAAATTTGCTACAACAAAACCAACAACTATTTGAGCGACTGGCTGCAAATCAAGGTCATTCGAGCACGCCGGTTCATGTTGGTGGTGACGTCTCTTTGGCGAATTCAAGTTCGGTAAATGCGGCGAATTCCAATCTCAGTGAATTGCCGAAAATTCAAATCAAACGATTCTCTGGCAACTACACAGAGTGGCCCTCTTTTCAAGACATTTATGAAAGCACAATTCATAACAAGCAACATTTGTCCAACACACAGAAGTTCCATCACTTGAAAACACTTATTGTTGATGAGGCTGCCAACTTGGTACGGCATTTGGCCATTACGGATACAGCTTACAACACCGCTTGGGAACGTCTGAAGGAAAGGTACAATCGTCCACGGCACATTGTAAACTCATTTTTGGAGCAGTTTATGAACCTGCCAACAACTACAAAGGTAGATGCATCAATTCTACGGAAGGTGTCAGACGGAGCAAACGAAATTATTCGCGGATTGGATGCAGTCAACCAGATGGGACGCGATTGCTGGATCATCTATCTGGCCCTGGAGAAACTTGACGCCGACACGCGGCGTAGGTGGATTGAGCGCAGCATGGACACAGATTCCCCCACTCTCGAGGAATTCTTCAAATTTCTGGATTCTCGTTGCGAGGAACTGGAACTGAGTAAAAGGGAGCTTGCGACTGGTAGCAAGACAACAACACATGCAGAAAAACCAAAAAGGGTCACACAATCGATGGTTGCGATCGAAGGCAGTGGCTGCATCAAATGTAATTCAAAAGAACACACTCTGTATAACTGTCAGCTGTTCTTGGATATGTCTGGGATGCAGAGGCGATCCTTCGTAAAGGAGAAATCACTGTGCTACAACTGCTTGCGACCTGGTCATGGAGTCAGCAAGTGCAAGTCGACATACAAATGTAGGCAATGCAAGGGAAATCATCACTCCCTTCTACATGTCCAAGCGAATCCACAGGCTATTGGGAATCTTGCCCAGATAGTAGGCGAGGACGAGCGAAACATAGGTGCGTCCAACAACACTTCGGTGACTCTCAGTCATTTCGCCCAAGGAGAGGGCACTCAATCAGTTGTATGTGCACAGGGCACTGCAAAATCTACACAGGAAACGGAAATTAAGCGAAGCATTTTACCAACTGCCATGGTTTATGTTCAAAAGGTGACCTCGTAACATGCCGTCTCTTATTGGACACAGGCTCGGAGCTTTCCTACGTATCCGAGCGTTGCATTCAAGCTCTCGGATTGACACGTTCGGCATCACGCATCTTGGTCACGGGAATCTCTTCGGTGAAAGCAGACACGACAAGGGGATGCAGCACCTTGCATATCAAGTCCCGTATCTCCGAGGATCATTTGGTTGTCTACGCCCACGTTCTAGGCAGAATTACTTCTTCGCTGGAACGCCAAAACATCGATGCATCGGCACTCGAGGCATTCAAGGATCTGCAGTTGGCGGATACAGAATTCAACACAAACTCACCTGTTGACATTCTATTGGGAAGCGAACACGTATGGTCGGTGTTTACAGGACGAAAGATGTACGACAACAAGGGTAATCTTATCGCCATTTCTTCGGTGTTCGGATGGGTAATAACCTCACTCATCACATCAAATCCAAGCAACGCTATTGCACTGACTACAACAGTAGACATAGGCGCCACGCTTCAGAAGTTTTGGCAATTGGAAAGCGTTCAAGGCAGCGCAAAATTGGATCCGGAGGATGATCAGGTCGAGAAGCACTTTCTCGCCACTCACAGTCGCGATGAAAACGGGAAGTATATCGTGGATCTTCCATTCAACACTGAAAGCCCCGATTTCGGAGAAACTCTACAAGGAGCGCTCAAACGCTTTAAATCGGTTGAGCGGCGGCTGCAACAGAACGAGCAGCTGCGTACACAGTACGTATACTTTATGCGGGAATACACAAATCTGGGGCACATGCGAGAGGTGCCACCTGAAGAAAACGCTACTGGAAATCAGTTTTATCTACCACACCACCCAGTTCTGGGTCGGAAGCTACGAGTAGTTTTCGATGGATCTTTTCGTGACGCCAATGGTAAGGCTTTAAATGACACCCTGTTTACAGGTCCCAGTATCCAGCGCGATCTATTCGCTGTGTGCCTTCGTTTTCGAATGTACAAATTTGCATTCTCAGCGGATATCGTAAAAATGTTCCGCCAGATATGGGTCAACGAAAAGCACAGAAACTTCCAGAAAATCGTTTGGAGAGAAGATCCATCCGATTCCATCAAGCACTTCCAATTGTGCACTGTAACCTACGGAACTTCATGCGCACCATTCCTGGCCGTGCGAGTGCTGGAACAACTTGCTGTAGATCATCAAGAGGAATACCCAAATGCGTCGAAAATCCTGCTGGAGGATTTCTATGTAGATGACGTTCTTACTGGGTCAAACAGTGAGGATGAGCTACTTCGGAACCGAAACGAGCTGATTCAGCTGATGTCTCGTGCAAATCTTGAACTCGGGAAATGGGTATCAAATACACCATGTATACAAACGGATGATAGCGACACACAACCTGCACAAACGTCACCAGTAAAGGTTCTCGGACTGTACTGGCATCCTGGTAAAGACATTCTAACGTACAATGTCGGTCTAGCCAAAAATCCTGATTGCACAAAGAGACAAGTTTTGTCCGACGTCTCGAGGATATTTGATCCTCTCGGACTCTTGGCACCCATTGTAATCCAATTCAAAATCCTGTTCCAAAAGCTATGGCTCTTGAATTTGGATTGGGATGACCCACTCCCAACTAAACTGGCGGACAACTGGCTAAAGTGGAGAGCAGATCTGGACAATCTTCAAACATTTCAACTACCACGATTTGTCGCCAACGACCCGGACAACATCGAACTCCACGGATTTTCGGATGCGTCAACCAAGGCATATGCTGCTGTGGTGTACAGCAGAGTCACGAATGACGATGGCTCCATCTCGGTATCCATTGTGGCTGCGAAAACAAGGGTGGCTCCACTGAAACAACAATCCTTGCCACGTCTAGAACTTTGCGCAGCACTTCTCCTTAGCCAACTGATTCGCTCGATCACATCTGCATTGCGCCACAAAAACATAACTGTTTTTGGCTGGTCCGACTCTTCAATAGTGCTCACCTGGTTATCGTATACGCCAGCCCAACTCAAGACATTTGTTGGAAACAGAACCTCGGAAATCCTTGACACTATTCCAAGGAGTGCTTGGCATCACGTAGATTCCAAAACAAACCCAGCGGACTGTGCGTCCAGGGGACTGATGGCTGCTGATCTCATCGACTTCCATTTGTGGTGGAATGGGCCTTTATGGCTACGGGACAAGGTGCAGTATCTGGTAAAGTTAAACGACTCACGTTTCGGTTTATCTCTTACAGACAAACGCATTCAAGGAGAAGTCAAATCCAACTGTTTGGCCACACTGGCTGAAGCAACCCCGGTTCATCCATTTGATGAACTAACCGAGCGAGTGTCTTCTTGGATCAAGCTCGTCCATATTGTCGGCTACGTGAAGCGGTTTATTCAACGTACACGAAACCGAACTCCCAAAAGGGTATCTAGCGCTCTCACATTTGACGAGATTAAGGAGGCAAGGATTCTGTGCATAAAACAAGCCCAAGGTTGTTTCAAAGACGATTACCAATTGCTCCTCGGTAAAAAACCTTTAAGGAACCGATCACAGCTGATCAAACTGGCACCTATAATCGACGAAAACGATTTGCTGAGGGTAGGCGGACGACTGCACCAATCGCAGTTGTCAAACGATGCAAAACACCCAGTATTGCTACCAAAAACACACCGCATCTCAAAGCTGATTCTGGAACACGAGCACCGAGTGAACCTCCACCCTGGCGTTTCCTCACTTTTTGTTATTGTTCGGCAAAAATTCTGGATATTTGGAGCACGTAATCTAATTCGCAAAATAACCCACGACTGTTTAGCTTGCTTTCGTCAGCGCTACCACACATCCCAGCAACAAATGGCTGATTTACCCAGCGTACGCATTACACAAGCGCTTCCATTTATATATACTGGTTGCGACTATGCAGGTCCAATACTTCTGAAGGATGCTAAGGTTCGGAAGCCACGTATCAGCAAGGGTTACATATGCCTATTTGTTTGCATGGTCACCTCGGCCATCCACCTGGAACTTGCCACAGATTTGACGACAGAAACCTTCTTGGCTGCCTTGCGGCGCTTTATATCGGTACGTGGCAAGTGCAGTAAGATCTACAGTGACAATGGCACAAATTTTATTGGAGCTAAGCGATCCCTCGACGAGATGCAAGAATTGCTTTCTTCACAGACACACAAGGACACCGTGTCTAGCACACTAGCGGATGATGGTATCCAATGGGTATTTATTCCCCCGAGAGCCCCTCACTGGGGAGGGAAATGGGAGTCGGCAGTTCGTTGTGTCAAGCTGCATCTTCGCAGAATTACCGGAAACTCAACGCTCACCTTTGAACAGATGCGCACACTTCTTGCTCAAATAAGCGCAGTGATAAATTCACGCCCCTTGTGCTACACACCGGATACGGAAACCAACTACCTATCCCCAGCTCACTTCCTAATTGGGCGACCATTAACAACAGTGCCAGATCCCGATTTGAGTCACATCCCAGTGGGCCGATTAGGATATTGGCAAAGCATCCAGTCTATGCTTCAAGGATTCTGGAGAAAATGGCATCAGGAGTATCTGACTACTCTGCAGCAACGTCCAAAATGGACTACTTCAACACCCAACATCTCGACCGGTGATGTTGTGCTCGTAAAAGAGTCCAATTCACCACCGGCATCTTGGCACATCGCTCGGGTTATGGAAACCTATCCAGGGAAGGACAGCCTCGTTCAAGCAGTCAAATTGAAGACCCCGACAGGAGAGATGATCAGACCCATCACGAAAGTTGCTGTATTGCCCCATTCAGAAACTGTGTTTCAGGGCGGGCCGGGATGTTCGTGAACGCTTGCAGCTTTAATCATCTCTAATATATAGGCGCATAATGCCTCTCTATTCTATTATATATATTCTATTCTATGTACAAAATATTCTATTCTGGCAACGCCGCTAAAAAAAAAATAAATTTTGTTTCGCAACGCCGCTAAGACGGCGTCATATTGCAAAATTCAATTCAGTGTCAAATAGGCTTCGCAACTGGCAAGAATAAAATTAATACAGTCCACATATACGCAACTCAACTCGTTCTTATTTCTGACCACTAACATTCTCTATGTCTAACACGCGTTTTCAATCTGTGCAATATTACCTTCGTAGTCTTTAAAGTTTATTATATGGTCGAACGTCTTCGCTCCGACCATTACTCTTGCTTTTCCCAGTTCCATTTTTAAGATCGCTTCTTCTCGTTTTAGTGTTTGCACGACCATTGTCTGTCCATGGACCAATATGCACCTGTAACCGTGATTGATTAGTTTCTATTTTGTTAAATTATTTTTTTAATTTTTGATTTTTGTATCTTTTGTTTCCTTTTTGTAACGAATGTAACCCCATTATCATCATCTACTGTGTGCTCCGTAAACCTAGGTGTTAGCTCTCTCCGAGAACAATTCGAACGGCTTCAACTTCGTACTGGAGTGTATTGAGTTATTATAAGTTAGGAAAACTTCATCTAAAACTTCCTCATGCTCATTTTCTAGTTTTAAGTCAGTATTGAATGAAGCCTTTCAACCGGTGAATTGCTGGACGATTGTTGAAACGACGTCACATGCAATTCAATTCCGTTCTGCCTACAGAAATCCCTGAATAATGCCGAGGCATACTCTGCGCCTTGGTCACATATGATCTTTTTAGGAACACCGTACTGACTTATGAACTTCTTCATTGATTTAACAATATTTAAACTATCTTGCAAACCTTGAATACTTGTCTATTATTGTTATTACGTAGTTTTTGTTAATTGAGTATAAATCCGTATGAACGATGTCAAGTGGCTTGCACGGGGTTTCCGTATTTTGAAATACCACCTTTTGCGGTTGCCGATCATATTTCAATGTCTGGCAAGTTTCACACGCATTAATGACCTGTGTTACTCGGTTTTTCATAAATGGAAAATAAATGCCACGTCTCATCTTCCAAAACGTTTCGTCTATTCCCCTATGATTACCTGAGGTATGATACTTTTCTATTTCTTTTCTTTGTTCACTAATATCTGTTATTTCCCGCATGAAGGTAAGACATCGTACTGCTTTATACAGTTTGCTCTTGCAAAAATAATTCTGAAACGCTTTTTCTACCTTTTTAAAAACTTCATCTGACGTGTATATCGCACACATCCTGTACGGTTTAAGTGAACTCCTTTTCTGTTATTGTCCTTCTTATCTTGTTCCTAAAAGGTGTCACCACTGTTCTGCCTGGTGTCGGCCCAACCTCAAATATTAACTGGATATTAAAGTCATTCAGTGGCTTTTCTGCCACATGAATGCTACTTAATTCCAGTTGACCTGTATAACCCGCACAAGTGGCCTGAGTTGACTCCAGTTCACTGTTGTGAACTTGTAGTTCGATTCTGCTCAATGCGTCTGCCACGACGTTTTGTGAGCCCTTTTTGTAGGTCACCTCGTAGTCATATTCCAATAGTTGCAGCTTCCACCTCACCAACTTAGAATTGGGTTCTTTAAATCCCATTAGCCAAGTTAGTGGGCGGTGATCTGTGACTATTGTGAATTTGTAACCGAACAAGTACGGTCTGAAGTGTTTTATACCCCAAACTATGGCAAGCATTTCCTTCTCTACTGTGGAATAATTTACTTCAGCCTCATTTAACGTTCTGCTCGCAAATGCGATTGGGCGATCACTTCCCATTGCTCCTTGTGATAACACCGCACCAATAGCAAAATTGCTAGCATCTGTGGTCAAAATAAAAGGCTTAGTAAAATCTGGATATCTCAACAATGGATCATTGCATAACAACGTCTTGCAATATTCAAAGGTTTTTGTATATTCCTCATCTATGATTATTTGTTGTTTCCCTTTTAGTCTCTTAGTTAATGGTTTGGTTATTTTTGCAAAATCTTTTATGAATTTCCTGTAATACCCAATGAGTCTAAGAAATAACTATATTTCCTTTGGTGTTTTGGGCAAAGGAAAAAGCTTTATGGCCTCAATCTTCTTTGGGTTTGTTCTGACTCCTTCTTGTGTCACTACATGCCCTAAATACTCTATCTCCTTCTTTAAAAATTCTGACTTATCTGTTTGAAGTTTAAAATTTGCTCCACTTATTCTTTTAAAAACTGTCCTCAAGTCTTGCATGTGACTTTGTAAGGACGGGGAATACACAATTATATCATCCATGTAGACAAGACAAATCTTGCCTACCAACTCTCCCATCAGGTTATTCATCACTCTTTGAAACGTCGCCGGGGCATTTGTCAGTCCAAATGGCATCCTTACATATTCAAAGTGCCCGTTATCTGTTGTAAATGCTGTTTTTGGAATGTCCTGTTTTTCCATCTCAATCTGATGGTATCCGCTAGCCAAATCTAATACCGAGAAATACATGGCCTTTCCCAGTTTATCAAGTACTTCGCCAATTACTGGCATCGGATACCTATCTTTCACTGTCTTCTCATTCAACTTCCTAAAATCGACCACCAATCTCCACTTTTGTTTTCCTGATAGGTCCATCTTCTTTGGTACTAGCCAAACTGGTGCACTCCAAGGTGAGTGACTGTGCCTAATAACTTCCTGTTTTAACAACTCCTGTATCTGATTCTTCACTTCTTCCCTTTGTTTAAATCCATATCTGTATGGCTTTTTATAGATAGGAATATCATCCGTTGTTGGAATTGAGTGAGTTACCGCATTGGTAAATGTCAATTGATTTCCCTTTGTGTGAAAAATACTTGGAAATTCCGAATACAGTTTTATAAGGCTTGCCGCCTCTTCTGTATTTAGATGCGACATATCCAATTTTGCATGCCTTGCATCACCCCCGGCTAATTCCATTGTGTTCATTTCCCTGCTTACATACTCCTGTTTAAATGGTCTTAGAATTTCGATTTCTACATAATCTTTGGAATCATATGCAGTGACAGCCAAAGGCTTTTCCAGGTATAATTTCTTTTCTTTTCCTGTGAAATTAACAACTTCCAGGTCGGCCTGTCCCTTCCTTGCATAATAAATTCAAAAATGAACCATTGTTTATTGAAACTGGTAAGGTGACAATTGTTTTAGTCGCCTCCTCCAGGAAATGTATGCCAGTGGCCCTATTGGGCTTCAAATGGACTTTAACTGTCCCTGTCTTAGTTCTTAATACGAGATTTTCTAAATCTAAACTTGCACCTAACTTAATTAATATGTCCATTCCCAATAATCCATCAAAATAGGAATGAAAATGAAATAAAAAGAAATCAAACGATTCCCCTTTTGCGATTTCCTGCAGCTCAATATCTTTTACATAACTGTTTATTTTATGGCTTCCTATTGGTGTTTTAATAACAAAGTTTTCTTCCAATTTTTGCTGTTAATCTTTACTAACTATTGCGGGATTTAAATATGAATTCGTAGCTCCCGAGTCTATTAATAATTTGAGTTCTTTTTCGTTCTTTCCTTTCCATTTTGACGAAAATTTCCTTCGTCATCACTGTTATTCAACTCTTGCTCCTCTTCTCTTTCTACTGTATTTAATTTCCCTGACTGCCATCGTTTGGCACTTCTAGGTCCAGTTCATGAATATTCTGCAATTTCTTGTTTTGGCATAATTGCCCTTCTATTATACCCTGAAGAATTAGAGGTCGACTGATCGTCATATCCTCTATTCCTGTTTTCTTCCCTATTCCACCTGAGGTTCCTATTATTTCCTCCTTGTTGCCTATATCCTCCATTATCTCTGTTAAAGTTATTATTGTACCCTCTGTTTCTATTATAACCAAAGTTCTGCCTGTTATACCCCCCTGCAGTACTGAAATTATTGTTCCTGGGTACTTCTTTAGACCGGTAATAAATGTCTCTCTCTTTAATCGCTAACTCGTATGCTTCCAAAAGCGTCTTCGGAACTCTTCCCCTGACGGCACTACCTAAATTGCCTTTTAGACCTGTTACAAACGCCTCCAGACACGTTTCCTTATATAATTTCTTTTTTGCCTGAATTGCGATGGGGTTTGTATCTGTCCTGTCTATAACTTTACACAATGCCTTATGCACATCAGATACCTCCGAGTAAAATAATTCTACTGTTAGTCTTTTATTTTCCAACTGGTTTAATTCCCTCAGTAAATCGGGTTCTGACCTCTTATCTGCAAAATGGGATACCAAAATTCTTTTAGTTTCATCCCAATTTAATCCACCATTTGATTTAACTAAAATGTCATCGGCTTTTCCTTGGATTTTATTCCTTATTTGCCTAAGGATCATTAGTCCCATATGTGTTTGATCCATTCCTCTAATCATTAAAAGGATCTCTTCTACGTTTAACATAAACTCGTTTAACCTTTCTTTTTCTCCCATATAAACATGCATTGAACGGATCACATCGGAAATTTTTACCGTGCCTAACATCTCAAACGTTGCCTGTTGCATTCCTAAATTTTCCTGATGCGTCATTGTATCAGCTTCCCTGTTCTGTACTGCTCTAGAAGTTGAGGGCTCAAAATTTAATTGTTCCACTATCGTTGGCAAACTGGTAGCCTTTTTGATAACTTTACTTCTAGTCAGAGGCCTAAGTGACTCTTTAACTTTGCTGATTTTTGACATTTACAATTCTCTTTTGTTTACTCTTTAAATTATATATTTTTTTGCCTACGCTTATTATATATTTTATGTGTATATAGTATACTAGCTGTACCCGGCGCGACTTCGTTCGCTTAAAATTAGTTTTGAGTACGGTTGTCAAGACTTTCCCAATTCCACACCACCCCTGAGGTAGAGAAATTGGCTCGTTTTTTTAATGTGGTATCTCCAATTAGACCTATTCCACTGAAACTTTCTAGGTTTAATAAT